GATGTTCAGATCAGATAATATAAGTGAATTTTTCAATACTCATTGTAGAGAACTGTTTCAGTTGCATGAGATCCTACATCAAAGTTTATGTCCTTACACACCCCAACAGAATGTGGTAGTAGAGAGAAGACACATATATTTTAGAAATTACAAGGGCTATCAGATTCCAAAGCCATGTACCATCTAGATTTTGGGGAGATTGTATTGAGACATCTGTATATCTTATCAATAGAGTGCCCTATACTATTCTTGGCAATAAATCACTATTTGAGCTATTGTATCACAAACAACCTTCCTTATCTCATATAAAGATCATATGATGCTTGTGTTTTGCTTCTTTACTGCCTACAATTGATAAGTTTGGGCCTCTAGCTGTGAAGTGTGTGTTGTTGGGATATGCAACACTTCAGAAAGGATACAAGCTACTTGATCTTGAGCACAATGTATTTTTTATCAGCAGAGATGTAACATTCTTTGAAAAAGCGTTCCCTTTTCAGAATCCTGAAGCGGGGACTGATTAGTCTTTTCTAGATGATCTAGATATGAGATCATTTCCTAATCATAATGGTATAGATCATGAGGCTTCTCTTCCTCCTGCATTAGCTCCTGTTGCAGACTCATTCTCAGACTTATTCGGTGCCTCTTCTTCAGAGAATGCATCTATGCTTAACTCAGACCAGGGGTATCCAGAGTCCCTTCTTGGAACTCCTGCATCAGTTGCAGCTCCTGAGCCAAATGAACGACTTGTTGATGATGTTAGAAGATCAAGTAGGATTTCTAGACCTCCCATCTAGCTTAAGGATTATGTTAGAGTTGACAAAGTTGAACAAACCAATAATTGTAGATATCTCATAGCTGCTGTCATAGGCTATGATCACCTGTCTCCCAAATACCAAAGCTACTTATCTCATATTTCATATGAACAAGAACCCAATAGTTACTATGAGTCTGCAAAGGATAAAAGATGGATTAAGGCTATGCAAGCAGAAATAAAAGCATTGGAGGATAACTAAACTTGGGAGATAGTGTCCTTGCCCCAGGGAAGAGAGCCATAGGATGCAAATGGGAGTATAAGATTGAGTACAATGCAACAGGAGAGGTTGATATGTTCAAGGCACGATTTGTGGCAAAAGGGTACAACCAGAAGGAAGGATTGGATTACCAAGAAACATTCTCACCAATAGTGAAGATCATAACTACTAGAAGTGTAATTGCTTCAGCTGCTGCCAAGCATTGGACAATCCACCAAATGAATGTTTACAATGCTTTTCTACAAGGTGATTTAACTGAAGAAGTGTTTATGTGCATTCCACCTGGATTTGTAGGCTCTAACAACAAGTCATTGGTATGTAAATTGCATAAGTCCCTCTATGGGCTTAAGCAAGCATCTCGACAATGGAATATCAAAGTCACTACATCACTCCTTGCCTCATGATTCCAATAGAGCCACCAAGATTACTCTTTGTTCACTTAAAGAACTTCAGGGAAGTTGGTAGTGGTCCTAGTATATATAGATGACCTCATTATTACTGGAGACAATCTACAGCTAATACAAGAAACCAAATCACAATTGCAAGATAGCTTCAAGATCATAGATTTGGGAGAGCTAAAATATTATCTAAGAATTGAATTTTTCAGAAGTAGAGATAGTATTTTGATGCATAAGAGGAAGTATAGCTTGGAGTTAATAGCTGATTTGGGTCTAGCAGGCTGCAAACCTGTTACTTCACCCTTGGAGTTGAATGCCAAGTTGACCACATTGGAGTTTGATACACACACAGGTTCTACAACTGATGATACTCTACTAGAGGATCCTGGTCCATATCAAAGGTTACTTGGTAGATTGTTGTATTTGACAATCACTAGACCTGACATCTCATTTGCAGTACAAATCTTAAGTCAGTTTATGCACAGTCTCAAATCATCTCACATGGAAGTTGTCCTGAGAGTTGTGAGGTATGTTAAACACTATCCTGATCTGGGGGTGTTAATGAAGGCTGAATGTTCTGGATCTCTATCATCCTTCTGTGATGCTGATTGGGCAGCATGTCCCAACAGTAGAAGATATATAACAGGATACTTAGTGAAGTTTGCTGACTCCCTCATTTCATGAAAATCCAAGAAACAATCAACAATTTCCAGAAGTTCTGCTGAGGTAGAGCACAGGAGTCTTGCTTTGACGGTAGCTGAGATTATTTGGCTTCTTAGTCTGTTTAAAGAGTTAGGCGTTGATCAACAAGCTCCAGTTCCTATATACAATGATAGCAAGTCAGCAATTCAGATTGTTGTCAATCCTGTCTTTCACAAACGGACCAAACACACATACATCGATTGCCATTTTGTGCGTGAAAAGATTCAGTCGGGGTTGATTCACACTGTCTATGTTAACACTGCTGATCAGCAAACTGATCTTCTCACTAAAGGCTTGAGCAAGTTTCAACATGGCTGCTTATTATCCAAGCTAGGGATGGAGAATATCTTCACCTTCTCTAGGTTGGGGGGAGGGTGGGTGGGGTGGTGTTGAGTGTAGTAGTATAAGTGACGTGGTTAGTAGTGTAACATAACTTAACCATAGTTTAGAAGACTATAGTTAGCTAACCATAGTTAGTAGTTAGTTACAGTAGTTAGACTTGTATAAAGAGGACACGTTACTGTACAACTGTCAATAACAGAAATGAAGATTCATTTTCTTCCTTATTAGCTTTCTTTTCTCTGTTCTTAGATGCGATTGCTTCCTCCTTCTAAATTCTATCTCGTTCCACAAACCTAATAGACCCGCATATTAGGTAATTAATTAAATTACTTATCTCAGTCTCCCAATTAAGTAATGAATCCGATAATATTCTATTGTTTGCAAATATTTTCTTGAGCATGCATGTTTGTCCGATTTCTTGTTTCACCTTCTTTAGTCTTTCTTCGTAGACTTGCAAAGATCTGATATGGTCACTAGACCGTATATGCGTCCTTATAACAATTTTGGAATACATGAACTAGGAAACTCCATGTACTTGTGACGAATCAAGTTTATTTATGCAACAGATAATTAATTGCCGCAATTATCCAATATCCAGATCATATTTTCATTAATGACGACCATGATTACCGCCTTCTCCACTCAAGGGATGGCCCTATGGGGAATGGTAGGGAGGTGTAGCTATCACTTCCCTTGCAAAGTTTCAGTTATTTTCAGGTCCTGGCACCCATTTCAGAAATTCTAGCATGTGTTTATTGTGCATCCTAGTATAGGTCTTTTTAGGTATATTGCTAGGCACTGTTTTATGGCCATTAGCATCCCCACAATGCCATTATTTTGTGTCCCATTGAAGGTTGAAAAATGATAACTGCTGTCAATGCTAGCTAGGATTTCATGACTCATGAATTCATTATAATACCTATCATTCTTTCCTATTTTTAAGCTTTAGACAACTCTGTCATATCAACTTCTTGTCACTGCTTTCTGCCATGTACTCAGGCCTGTACTGTTCTTTCGGGAAAATTGGCTTTGTATTAGTGAGCCAAGTTTTTTGATTTCTTCCTGTGCCCGAAATGGAAAGTAGTGAAAACTCACTGTTACACTCCCACTAGGGAATGATGATCAGATTCAGGACACATCCACTAACTGAACTGTAATATTATTGCTTCCCACTACCGAATTCAGTGGGGAGAAAAGTGAAGGCCGATTCTCTCTGAAAGACACATATATATAGATTACGGGAATTTTGTTAGTTGCGAAAACAAAGTCTCACGTCCAAAAGTTGATAAGAAATTAAAGCTACATATAATGTGAGGCCTTTTTTCAAAATCTGTAAGTTTTGGCTCAAATCCGACAACACACACCATGTTAAAAGTATTTTAAGACTAGCTTAATCCAGCAAATTTTACATATGATCATCAAACTTTATCTGTTGTAGCGGTCAAAAATAAAATATGACCAGAACGAAAGTTTATATTTTTTCTGTAAGATTATAAAACGTCATTCCTCACGTTAGCACTACAACATTTTAGGCCTTTACCTACTTTCGAAAAATATAGGTTAAACTATCAAAAAGTATGGCATTTGATCAAAGGCCACACTTTTCGATTTTAGGCAACGCTTTTCTGGAGTGGCCTAAACTAGCGTAACATTTTTCTTAAGGGCACGTTTTTCAAGTATTATTTTAAAAACTACGCTTCAAAAGTGTGGCCTATATGATATCAAGGCCACGCGTTTGTTACCTTATTGGCAACGATTTTCTTTTTCTAAAGCTACGTGTTTGAAGTGTAGCCTTTGTTATGTTATAGGCTATGCTTTTTAAGTGTGGCAATTTTGTTTGGCTGTAATAATTTTTTTTAATATTTATAAAAGGTACAATTTGTGATTTATTAGTTACATTTTTTACATACTACGATCATATTTATTTCAAGCATAGACAATATTATCTCATTTTGATTATCTCAAGCACTAAATTAGCTAATAAAACACTAAAAATAATAATTCATATGAATTTATTTGCAATAAACTTTGAAAAACCAACATATTTCTTGCATTACACCTACTAATAAAGCAATATTCCAAAATGTGCACCGGCAATAAACTGTACAAAGTGGAATATATTCAAAGATCACAAGTGTTCAAAAATATTCAATAGTCACAGATCAAATTGACTCATGGCCACCATATCAAATTACATCACCCGCATTTTTCTACACAGTCAAAATACAATTAAAATTAAAAATAATATATAGTATGTATTCATATCACTACTAAAAAAAAAAGCAAATTTTTGACTGAAAATTTGCGACCGTCGATCAATTACGCGAAAAATACCGCGAAAATATAATTTTGAAATTCCGACTAAGTTAATCGCAAAAATTAAAAAATTAAAATAAATGTTCTGACCGATTTGGTCGGAAATGCTAAAACAAATTGGGTTTGACTGGTCAAGGAGTTTGCGACCGATTCGGTNAAAAAAAACCGTTTTTCCTTCTTCATTCTTTCTTCTCTATTTTTTATTCCTCTTCTCCCCTCTCCTCTTCTTCTCCCACCCGATCTATTTTCCTTCTTCTCTCAATACAAGGTAAGTAATTCCCTCTCTCTCACTCTCTTCTCCCTCTCCCAGCCCCCTCTCCCCCGTCCATCGCCCTCCCCTTCCCCATAATTTGTTTTTGTCCCAATTTGTTTAACTCTTTTTTTGTGCAGTAAATCCGACGGCTCTTCTATTCTCCGATGGTGGTCCAGCAATTTCTCCGGTGAAGTAAATCCGGCGGGCTTTGGTACAAGGTTATTTTTTTTTGCTTGTAATTGGCATCTTCTTTCTTGGGTTTCATACGGTTCAAGGATTTCAAATTTAGTGTGAAAACTTTCTTGTTCTTAATTGCTTTTTAATATTTTAGCAATTTCTAGTTGTTTTTAGTATGTATAAATTAGATACACTAAAAATATTTTCTTATACTTTTAGCGATTTAGTATATATAAATTAGATATAGTATGGATAATTTTAGTTAGATGTTCTTGTGAAACTAGCTAGTATACTTGTATGTATACAATAGTAAATCAAGAAAAATTTATAATAATTTGGGTATTTTCTTCAATTATTTAATTCTTGTTTATATAAATAATAATTTAAGTGCTAATACTTATCTTTTAGAGTTGAACAATAGTTTAAAGAGTTAGAATTTTTATACATTCATGTTAGGTTAGTTAAGAAACAACCTAAGTGCTAATACTTCTCTGTTTCGGCTTTTTGTTTGGAAATTCTCCATACCCTATCTATAGCCACCCTTATCTCTCCTATAGCCACCCTTATTACTCCTATAATAGCCTCCCTTATCCCTCCGCCCTGACAATATCGATAGCCACCATTATCGCTCCTATAGCCACCCTTATCTCTCCTATAGCCACCCTTATCGCTCCGCCCAGACAATATCCTAACACACATAACAACAGTGAAATGCCACCCTTATACCCACATAATATCAACAGTGAAATGCCACTCTTATATCCTCAAAATAATAACTCAACAATTTACACAGAATATTATCACGGCAACATAACAAAATCAATTCATAACACAATTTGCCCTATGGCCACAATCAATTCCAAAGATATAACAAATCAATTAATTTCACAACAAATAGCCGAAGATTCCACACAATATGTATAAGACCTCAAAAACAATCAACAGAGATAGAAATTACTCATCATAAGGCAACGCCTTCATTAATCCAAATTCTCAATAATTATATAAACACCTCTTCTTAAACTCATTTAATTTATTATTTGCAGAGGAAAAATCCATAATAAAATTAAATTCCAAGAAATATCAAACCATAAAACTCACGGCATTCACATAAATATACAAGTAATATTCACATCAAATCGTCATATAAAAATAAATTCAATAAATGTGAATTGAGGTATGGCAAATAGATGATTAAATAAATGCCAATAATTATCCAATTTACTACACAATATACTCAAGACTTTAACTCAGTAAATTTTTCACATATAAGCCCAAGTACGTACTCGTCACCTCGCGTACACGGATTTTTATATTTTACAAATGGTACATAAGACTCGATGCCTAAGGGGTAATTCCCCCACTCAAGGTTAGGCAGGATACTTACCTTTTTGAATTTAGACCGATATTCCAAAATAACTTTCTCATGTGAATTGACCTCCGGACGGTTCCAATCTTTCTTGAGCCTTCCTTACATTACTACGAGGTTCCGAAAATCCTAGCAACTTCAATCAATTTAGAAACATAACAAAAGTGAACGATAATCAGGAAGATTTTTATGGTTTTAGCTCATTTGAGTATTTTATCAAACACTAGTTGTAGAAATTTGGTTACAAGGTTCTTCTACAAGATTTTCTTTATTCCACAATCCAATCTTTACTTATTTGATCTCAACAATCTTCCCACAAACCTTATTGGTACAAGAATATATATATAATACTCTTACACCCAAGAATCATACTCCCAATCATCAATCTTTTACCCCAAACTCGAAATTTGAAGACTAGGGGTTGAATCTTACCTCTTAGATGAAGATCTTATGATTAGCTTCCTTGATTCTTGAAGATTGGATGATTAGAATGCTAGGTTCCCTCCTTCTCTATCTAAAATGATCTTACCTCTCTCTAAAACCCTCAGAAAAATACCCCAAAATAAGTCCCAAAGGCTATTTATTAAAATGAGGTCGGGTTATGAAAATAGAAAGATTAACCCTTCGAAAACAGGTCTGCGGTCGCATAATGGATCCCAGAATGGGTATGCGGGCCACACAATGATCGCAAAATTCGGTGCCCAGAACTGGGCTGTTTTGGTTCATTCTGCGACCAGTTTGCGGTCGTAGAAGCAGTTTCGCGATCGCATAACTATTCTGCGATCGCAAAATTGGTCGCAAAATTATATTTTTTTTTTCAGCCTTTGGTAATTTGGTTATCACTTCTTGTAGAAATGTCCAAATGATGAACGGTTTAAAACGTTAGAAACTAGACTCAAAGATATTTCATTTGATAGGTAATACACTATATATCACTTCGTATCATGAGAGTTATGCTCATTTGAAGTTAGGTGTTATGCGAACTCACTTGAAACTTTAATCTATTATGAAATTTTCAACTTCTACATTCGATGCCGAAACCTATCGAATCAAGTCCGATTGACCTCAAATTTTGCACACAAGTCATAAATGATATAATTTCAATTTCCAGAATCAGATTCCGGCCTTGTTATCAAAAATTCAACCTTCGATCGTACTTTCCGAAAATCGTCTATTTTCCAACTTTCGCCAAATTGCGTCGAATTATCCTACGGACTTCCAAATCCAAATTTGGGCATACGCCTAAGTCTGAAATCACCATATGAAACTATTGACATCATCAAAATTCCATTCCGGGGTCGTTTGTTCAAAGGTCAACTCTCCGGTCAACTCTTTCCATTTAAGTTTCTAAATAAGAATTGTTCTTTTAATTTATTTCTGAACATATTACGAAGCTGCTCGAGACCCGACCACACCCACGGGTCATAATACATATTACGAAGCTGCTCGAGACCTTAAGTCACAGAACCGGGCGTTAATTCTTAAAAAAATAAGTCGGGTCATTACATTCTCCACCTCTTAAACATACGTTCGTCCTCGAACGTGCCAAGAATCTTTCTGAGGACATTAAATTACTGAGTGTTTTCATACACACATACTCGTGGGTGATTCTACGTTCCGCAATTTAACATGGGTCCGACAACACCATCTCAGTTGAGATTATTTCTTTTATCCATACTTATAAACTTTAAAACTAATTTCTTACACTCCAAACATTTTCAAGATGCCTGATTTTCACATCAACGCACGGTATTAGTCTCAATTGGCTATAACAACTCGTGCCTACACACACATCAATTTTTTTGATAGTGTTGAAGTACTTCGAAATTTTTTCCGGGGTGTTACATTCTCCCCCATTTAGGATCATTCGCCCTTGAATGAGAAGTGGAGTTCTCCCTCAAACACATAACATAACTTATCTCTTCTTTCGCACGTCTCAATCCCCCAAATTTTACTAACTCCCAAATTTTTCAGAAATTTCGGTAGAGTCTACCCTGTAATTGGGCCTATCCACCTGCCAGAGCAATACCAAAACAACTCCTAACAATACATCCACAACCCCACAAAGCACCACAATGTCTACATCAATAACACTAATCTCAACATTACAAGAACTACATTATCATAATGAAATTAGGACATAAAGTACATCATATATATGCCCATTATCACATCTTTGGTCTTAATAGTTATTCATAATCGATTACAATATCGCCAATTAACTTCATATTAACCAAAACCTCGTTTTGAATTTTTACAACACTGACAGCAAAATGTGAGGCATGGAGACCTCATAACTATTTACCCGACTTAACGAGTCACATTTAACGCCACCTAGACACTCACCTCATAGGCTAAAACTCAATAATTACAGCACAATTATGGCACAGAAACACATAAAAGAATTATCACATAAGCCTATCAGGCATAACTCCCTATTAGTACTATATTACAAATTAAACTTTACAAAAGGGAGAATTTAAACTCATAAATATTTCACCACAAAGACCTCGTCCTTATATAACTTCCACTGTGGCTTGTAGCCTGGATTGAATATTTCACATCATATAAAAATGCGAGGATCTCGTTCTCAACTCCGAATCACAGGTATTTTGCACATTGTGCCAACTGAAATTTCAATTTCCTTTCTTTCTTCTTTTCAATAAATTTCGTAAATATTTTTCATAACATATATTGAACCCTCATATCGGTAGGGCATATAATTCATAAAATTGGAATCAATTATTCCGAAACACATCAAACCCACTCTAATGAATAATAAAAATTACTTTTGGACTTATAGCCCTCAATGGTTCCCAAAAATAAAAATGACAGACACAGGCTCACATCTTCAAATCTCCCAACAGGGATAAACATATAAGTGGGTCACAAAATTACGAAGCTCACCCATAAGCGGAGCATAATAGGAGGACTCACCTCAATATTCAGATCCGAATCAAATTAAGGAAAAATATTCTTTTATAACAAATCGGGATCGTACCTGTAACGACATCATCTGGTGTATCGGCCTCAGCCAAATCATAGCGATTATATCAACGGGTCAGGCTACCACCTCTTAGGAGCCCTTTACCCGTCTGTCCTCCACCCCTAACTGGGTGTGCACGTGGGGTAGTAGCTGTACTGGGTCCATAGTCTGAGTGTTCTGATAAAATTCACCCCTCCCAAGTCTGGGACAATCTCTCATAATGTGCCTAGTGTCACCACACTCATAACAGCCCCTCTGAGGTCGCGATTGCTCATACTGAGTCTGTATCGGATAACTGGAATAACTATTATAGGAATCCCGTGCCGGTGGTGCATTGTAAGAACTTACTGGAGCACTCCGAGTAATCTGATATGTGGACTGAGCTGGCCGAATGCTCGAGCCTCCGCTATAATAGGTCCTAGCTGAAGAGTAAAATCCACTAAACCCTCCAGAGCTTCGAGACCTTTTGGCCTCCTTAGACTCCCTTTCCTCGCCTAGAACACCTTCAATCTTCCTCGTAATCTCCACTACTTGTTGAAATGGAGTATCAATTTGCAACTCTCGAGCCATGCATATTTTAATATCATAATCGAGCCCCTCAATGAATCTGCGGACCTGCTTTCTAACTGTAGGAACCAATATAGGTGTATGACGGGCTAACTTACTGAACCTGATAGCATATTCTGACACTGTCATAGTGCCTTGACGCAACCGTTCAAACTCTGTGCGCCACGCATCACGGAAAGTCTGGGGAATAAACTCTTTCAAGAACATTTCCGAAAATTGAGCCCAAGTTGGTGGTGTTTCATCGGCTGGTCTACTTTCCTCATAGATTTGCCACCACTGATACGCTGCGCCTAACAGTTGAAATGTAGTAAAGAAAACTCCGCTTACTTCCACAATACCCATGGTGCGGAGAATACGGTGATAATTTTCTATAAATTCTTGGGCATCCTATGTAGCTGTACCACTGAAAGTAGGTGGACTATACCTCTTAAACCTCTCAAGTCTCTTTTGTTCTTCTTCTGATGCCTCTGGCCTGACCTCAGGCCGAACCGGAATAACAGGTTGTACCGGCACCACACCCGGAACCTGACCAACGTGAACCTACTGCTCAGGAGTTGTGGTAAGAGTCTGAGCTACTACCCCAATCTGCGAAATATTTGGTGCAACAGAGATCAATCCCGCCTAAGTTAATGTACCAAACATACTCAGGAACTGTGCTAAAGTCTCCTGAAGCCCGAGGGTAACAACAGGTGCTTCGCGTACCTGTCCCCCAGCTGGAGCTAATAGCGGCTCCTTAACTACTCCTCTAACCGATGTTCTAGCTGTGACACGTGTCCTTCCTCGGCTTCTACCCCGGTCCCGGCCTCTTGCGGCCCAAGCAGTATGCACGGGTACCTGGTCAGCTGACCCGGTAGCACGTGTCCTCACCATCTGTGAGAGAATAGAGATGCAAAGGCTCAAATTCCAAATTTAACAAATTCTGCACGACAAGAATGAAAGAAGTGGAAATTTCCTAACAGTTCTGTAGCCTCTCCCAAGACTGGTAATACTGAGTCACGAACTCTAACTGAATACATGAAATGATCTCGAGGATATAATACTCAATACTGTTTGATTAATAATTAACAGTCCAATAAAATGAAAAGACTTCAAGTGACTGCGACGACCAAACAACTCTACCTTGAACTCTTGCAATCACACTTTAACTTTGTCTGAGTCCAATAACTCCAATACCTGACTCTGCATAAAAATATGTAAAAGTGTAGTATGAGTACACCACGATCGGTACCCAGTAAGTATCAAGACTAACCTCAGTGGAGTAGAGATGAGGTACAGTCAATACACTCACTAGTCTAATAACCTGTGCAATATAATATACAAAATAATAGGAAACAAATAACAATAAGTGCAACACAAATTAACTAGTGATATGCTCGGCATGGTAACAAGAACACTATTAATATTACTCAACAAGTAATAAATAGAAGTACACCCAATTAAACCAAGTTCTTCAAATAAATATTTTTCACATATAATTCTTTCAAATAAATATTTTGAATATCATTCTTTCAATTAAATATCCTTCAAATATAATTCTTTCAATAAATCTTTTTCAAATATAATTTACTCAATAAATATCTTTCACATACAATTCCTTCAAATACTACTTTTAGAATAAAAATACTTTCAAATAAATATTTTCAATATAATTCTTTCAATTAAAAGTCACCATGTGACACCTCATTTCATAATCATAAAAATATGGGTCTCAGCCCTTTTCATATTTTCACGGCACTTCATGCCCATAATTTAATCAGCATATTTTTCCGGCACCTCGTGCCCTCATTTCATATCACAACTGCACAGACAATTCACGTGCCAAATATCATTATCATTTACTCACGGCACCTCGTGCCCACGTTTTATTTTATAATCCGCCTGGCAACAGTCACATGCTCTCAATTGTAACATAAATCAGATTGTTATCAATTTGCCAACAACAAGACAAATTGTTGTGACCCATTTAATCCCCCTTTTGATATTCATCATGATTTGGTTTAAACATCTTTAAATTTCAGACCTTAAGTGAGTGTTGATTACGTATTTAAGGTACAAGAGACATTCATTCGAGCTAAGGAGCACACTTTAGGAAAGTCGCTCTTTTCTTGGCTTAGAGGATCTTAAATCCCTTGATGTCATTTGAGCTTTAGAAACACTAAAGCTCCAAGGTTTGCACATAAACTTGAGTGTTTCTTTCAATTTAATTTGTTGAGATATTGTAAGTGGTTAAGGTTTGGTGAAATTTTACCTTACTTTAAATTTGTTATCATATTGACTTTGTTGCTACTTTACTAGTTTACTTGCTTTGTTGCTTGAGAAAGAATATCTTGAGACATTTTGATATATCAATGATCATTGAGGGTATAATTTTATAATTGAGTAATGAATATGTTAAAAATCATATGGGCGTCATGTAAAATATTTTTGAAAGATAATTTAACTCGCCCACATATACGGATTGCTTGAGCATCATTGCATTCTTGTTCAGATTTTGTCCCTCTTGTGATAGTGTCTTTGTCACTTATATTGGCATGACTTTTGTTTGGATCTTGACCCATCTTGACTTTGGATTCACATTCCATCTTAATCATGAACTTTGTTCATTTTGAGTATGGATGGGAAAGCCACTTTCAATATGGCTCTTGATTCTCTTGATAATTGGATAACGACCCTACTTGATCTAGGACTCTGGTCCTCCTTGTTACTTGATTATGCTTTGATATAATTGCATGATGCATGTATTGGGCAAATCAACTAATCGGTGGACTTTCTCGGATTATAGTTGAAACTCTTCTTGACATTTGAGATTTTGAATAATGGTATCTTGAACTATTTTATAATTTAATATTTAGCCCTCTTGAGATGATTGTACCTTCATTAAGTACTTGATGTTGATTTTAATAAGCTCATATCTAGAACTTATTCCTTGTATTCATTTTATAGTTTATCTTTCTTTAATTATGAAAGGTTAGTTAAGTTTATGTGCCACTAAGCTTTATGCTTAGCGATAGTTTGTTACTATCGTAGGTGATGTGCCGGGAGATGCTTGAGGACATCATTTGAAGTAGACTCTTTGGAAGATTAGATAAATATCACACTTGCTTAGGCATATGTATTTTTTTTTGTATATTTTGGGGGACTTGTACATGATCCATATGATACACTTAGATATGCATTCATGGGCATATTTGTTTTTTTGCTAGTTTATATTATTAAAAGAATGTTTAAATTTATAAGTATTACATTAGTGTTTATGAGTGGCATCCTCCTAGGGGTTGATACATTACATGATGGGTTACCTCTTCATTTTTTCCAATTCAACTTGACCACTTTACCATCTCAACGTTAGTTGATAGTTATACTACTTTATGCTCTTTTAACATATTTTTCCTTAGCTACTCATTTTTTCAGCATTTTAAAGTATATTATAGACTCTCCTTTTTTATAAGGATATACTATAGATACTTTCTCTATAGAATTCTAAACAACTGGTGTCTAACCCTTTAAGCAAACAAGAAAAAGGATCAAGTTTGGCATTGTACTATCTAAAATTGACCTAAAAGGAATGTAATATGTCATTGTAACTCCAAAAAATAACTTGAAATAATAGAAAAATACCTTTTCAAGAATCAGATATAAGTCGAACCAGAGGAATGTGGAAGAATTTGGCCTCACATAACCCCGTACACTACTCGCATTGATCGAATAAGGTAGGTTAGATTAGACGCACCCTGTTATATCCTGTTGTGAAGATGTTTCATAGAAAGCAAAGACAAAAAAATGCAGTACATAATATCTATCTAGATGTATAAGGAGAAAAGTGTTACCAAGGTAAAGACTAAAATACAATATAGTTAATCTTAATCCGCATATAAATAGAGATCACTTTGACAGACTTTCTATGTGAGTTCAAAAGATTGGATTGTAGTTTCAAGGATAGAATCAAGCAATTGTCTTATTATATATATCTTACATTTTTTTTCTTTTTCCATCATTGCAATGGATAACAAAACACTTCACAGAAACTATAAATTTGTGCACAAAAGATATTACTAAGCAGCCCTTGATTGCAGGTCAGTTTTCTCAATATCTCAACTTCTTCGAAGTTCTTACTCTATTCATTTCCTATTTGATTTTCCTTCATACTTAAGACGTTTTCTAATTCAATTTTGTAGGTGCAACTTTAGGTAACTTTCTTGTTTTCACTATTATTCTCTCAGTTTATCAGTTCAATTTGACAAAAGTAAAAATAAAGAGGAGAGGGTCAAGTTAGACTTGAAAGTTTTTGGAAGACTACAAGGTTATAAGAGCAACTAGATATTCTTAGGCTAATATTAAGAAAATAAAGGATTTTAGTGAAAACTTAGGAGAAGGAAGTCATGGCACTGTTTACAAAGGCAAACATTTCAAGAAAATCTATGTTGCAGTAAGAGTCCTACGTAATTTTAAGGCTAAAGGAGGATAATTAATCAACCACAATCATCATATATCAAAATAAAAGTAGCAGGAAAAGCGTACCTGATATCACTACTTGAAGTGAGTCTCCGAGCTCAGGCCCTTGTTTTAGTGAAACAAAAAAAATATTCTTTTTTTCACAATGAACTTTCAATAATGATTAGAAAGGAAGTTTATAAACAAAAAAGTGTAGTTTGTTTTATTAGAAGTTTATAAACTTCTAATAAGATCACTATGAAAACTATGACCATAACAATAACGACATGGCTTCTATAGATATAGTGCAGAACATTACCTTTTCTAAAGATGGCACACCAAACTTTGAATGCCCTGGTGGATTATATATTTACTATCAACTACGCCCCCTACAACAATTTCAAATTCCATATAAGAGTTAGATATATATTAAGTTTTCTCAAGATATAGACAAATATATATGATGTGCCATCACTTAAAAAGTGTGCTCTTTATAGTTAAAGACAATATTTACTAGTGTTGCCTAAAAACTGTGGCCAAAAGCAATTACTAAAGGTCACCCTTACAAAAGCGTTCCCATAGATATTTTTGGGAAAGCTTATCTGTAACGATCCGTCCAGTCATTTTGTGTATTACCGCTCCATCCCCCCATTTACTGTTTATTTTATGCCTTACAATTGTTATGTGACTTGCCAGGGTAATTGGTTCGGGTTCGGTGAGGTTTCGGAATGAATTAAGACACTTAGTCTCAAAGGTGAAAACTTAAGTTGAAAATATTGACTGGATGTTGACTTATGTGTAAAACCCTCGGAATAGAATTTTGATGATTCCAATAGCTCTGTATGGTGTATTTGGATTTAAGAGAGAGTACGAAAAATTATTTGAAAGTCCGTAATTAAATTAGGCTTGAAATGACGAAAATAAAAAATTTAAGTTTGAAAGTTTGACCGGGGAGTTGACTCTTTGATATCGGGATTGAAATTCGATTCTGGAAATTGGAATAGGTCTGTACCGTCATTTATGACTTGTGTATAAAATTTGAGGTCAATCGGACTTGATTTGACAGGTTTCAACGTTGAATGTAGAAGTTAAAAATTATTAATTTTTATTAGGCTTGAATTGGGGTATGATTCGTGTTTTAGCATTGCTTAATGTGATTTGAGACTTCGACTAAATTCGTATGATATTTTAGGACTTGTTGGTGTATTTGGTTGAGGTCCCGAAAGCCTCGGGTGTGTTTCGGGACGAGTTTTGAACGAGTTTGGGCATTTCGGTACTCTCATGGTGTTCTGGGAACAGTTGGAGTATGGGGGCACATTTTGGAGTGCGGAGGCAAAGCCTCATGTGCAGACCTTAGAGCAAAATTGCGAACCGCAGAGGAAAATTGCGGACCGCAAAAATGCTCTTGCGGCCGGAGAATCTGCAGGTTCGATGGTCTAACTTCGGAAGCTTATATCGTTTCATCTATAAATAATTTAGAGATGATCTAAAAATGAAAGTTGTATCTCTTTAAGTCTAGTTTTCAGAAAGGTAAACCATTCATAATTTGGATATTTGTACAGAAAATTATGGTCAATTTACTAAAATCTGATAGTACAGATGCTGCTGAACTGCGACCGCACAATTTGGGTTGAGGCCGCAGAGACCTTAAATGTGCGGACCGCACAAAACTTTTGCGGAAAAATCAATGGGAGATTAGATTTTGTACTATACGAATGAGGGGTAGAGTATTATTTCATATTTGAACTTTGGGAGCCCGGTTTGTGGCGATTTTTCGTGGAATTTTCAAGAAATTCCTCGGGGTAAGTAATTCTAACTCGGATTTGGTTAATATACATGAATATATCATTATTTTCATCATTTAATAAGTATTTTGAGATAAAAATTTGGGTAAAATTGTAGAAATCTCATAAAATAAATTTTTGGGATTTGAATGTCGATTCGAAGTCGGATTTGAGTGAAACTAGTATGGTTGGTTCGTAACCGAATGAGTTATCGGATTTTGTTAGTTTTTTTAGATTCCGAGTCGTAGGCCCCATTGGCGATTTTTGAGTGTAATTTCGAATTTTGTTAGAAAATTAGTATTTTCAGATGGAATTAATTCCTATAATTTGTGCTGACTGTATCAAATAAATTGTGACTAGATTCGAGGCGTTCGGAGGCCGTTTCACAAGGCAAAGGCATATTGGAATAAAGAATTGCACGGTTTGAAGTAAGTATCGTATTTAAACTCGGTTTAGGCACTAGTTGCCTAAATTGTTGTAATAGCCACGTGCTTTTGGGTGCTCACATATGGGGGGATAGTCCCATGTGCAAGCATCGGGGTTGTGTATTTATGTTTGGGTTGTGCTCGGACTCCTCTAAGCCCAGGAATGACTGTTAAGCTTCGAGCTTCGATATCTAATATGTGGTAACAATTTATGTGATCTGATATGATGTGGTTACTCAGAGGTAAAAATCTTGGAACAAACTTGATAAATGTTTTTCACTGATAAAATTTTCGCATTTATTACGATAGCACACTTTGCAAATGCCTACACTTTAACATGTCATTTATACCAATCCAGGGACAGGGGAATCTTATTTCAGTCATTATATACTTGTACCCTTGCTTTATTGTTATTGCATGATACTTTGGCACGTGAGTTATCCGTGAAGCACGTGAGTTGTCTGTGCAGATTCACATATTGATACTTTAGCACGTGAGTTATCCGTGCGGATCCATATATTGATACTTTAGCACGTGAGTTGTCCGTGAAACACGTGAGCTGTCCGTATAATACGTGAGTTGTCCGTGTGAATCCATATATTAATTCTTTACCACGTGAGTTGTCCGTGCAGCACGTGAGTTGTCTATGTAGATTCTATTGTTAGCATGTGAGTTATCTGTGCAATGTGTGAAACTTGTATTTTCTCGATCATTATCTGATTTACTGGTTTTATTTCCCCTACATGCCATAATATTGTTGAGCAGGATATAGTTGTACTGAATTAACTGGTGAATTCAACAAATTAAGCTTCTCTTACCTTGCCATATTTATTTGCGATACTTATTGAGTTAGTTGTACTCACACTATACCCTGCAACTCGTGTACAGATCCAGGTTCTTCCGGATACGATAGTTGCTAGATTCAGGGATTTATCTGTTGGAGACTATCGAGGTAGCTGCTTGGCATCCGCAGACCTTGACTCTCTCCCTCTTTAGTTATTGTGATGTTCTATAATTTCAGACAGTATTTCTATTAGTCAGACTGTGTTATTATTTAGATGCTCATGTACTCAGTGACACCGGATTTTGGGAGTGTATTTGAATCAATAAGGTTGTGGGATTTTCTATTAAATTTAAATATTATATTTTCAAACTTAAAATAAATTGTGGTTTATTGAAGTTGTCGGCTTGCCTACTATTGAGATAGGCACCATCACGACATGCGAATTTTGGATCGTGACAATTGGTATCACATCCTAGGTTACATAGGTCTCACGAGTCATGAGCAGGTTTAGTAGAGTCTTGCGGATCGGTACGGAGATATCTGTACTTATCTTCGAGAGGCTGTCGAACCCTTAGGAAAATTTTACTTTCTTGTATTCTATCGTGCGAATTTGTTGATTCTGGAAACTAAATTTCTGTTATTCTATTCTCTCACAAATGGTGAGGACGCGTACTACCGGATCGAACGGTCAGCCACCGGTGCCACCAGTTAGGACCGCGAGAGGCTAGGGTCGTAGTAGAGGTT